ACATTTTTGCTTCCACCCAGCTCCCTATCAGACAGCCCACATTTTTGCTTCCACCCAGCTCCCTGTCAGACAGTCCACATTCTTCTCCTGCTGAGCTCCCTACCGGGTCCCCGAGGACTGGATTGGGAAACACTGCATTACAGTGTCGGCAATGCTGCCGTTACCACATGTTCTCTCTCTGGCCATTCAGGATGGCGATGAGGCATAGTGATGGGGACCATGGCCCCGCCCTGTTCAGGCAGGGGGAGGGGAAGGTAGAGGAGCTGCTGGTGCTAGTGCAGGAGCACGGCTGCCGTGGGGAGGACGCCCAGCTTGGCCAGCAGCTCAGCCGGTGACCGGCCCTCCGTACCATGAGACACGTGCCTCTCTGGACCTCATTTACAGTCACCCGAAAGACGACACAGCGTCTGCAGTTTTCCATATGGCTTCTCCAGCCTCTCCTGAACACTGCAGACCTGAAATTATGCTTTATTTGCTATCTGTTACAGTTTGAGTACAGGTATGCTGGCAGGCTTCAAGCTTGGGGTTAGTGCAATTGTGGGTTAAAGGGTCTTGCTCAAGGGCTCAACAATGGCATAATTGTACTGGCTTTGGGTTTCAAACCCACAACCCTCACAAGAGGAACGAGTGAATAATCATGTATAGTAGAGAATTATAGTGTGCAAGTGTGTTATTTTGGAATAGTATATTTGTGGTACTGGCATAGTGTGTGAACATGATTATGCTCCTAGAGAAATAGTACAGCGCAGATCACATTGAGCCACACACCTCTCCTCAGTGATTACTGAGTATCTGTGTCACACTGCATATTTGACTTGTCTGATTACTGAGTATCTGTGTCACACTGCATATTTGACTTGTCTGATTACTAAGTATCTGTGTCACACTGCATATTTGACTTGTCTGATTACTGAGTATCTGTCATGTGACAGTAGCTATATGGAGGTTGAGCTATGTGACTCCAGCTGGCTCCAGTCCCTCATTGCGACTACAGCAGAGTAACATGTACTGTGAAGGATGGGCGGAGTCACACTGCCACTCACGCAGAACTGTTCCCTTCCCATGTCTCTCAGCATGGGGATCCACCTAGATGACGGGCCGCTCCCCTACATGGACGTCACGTCCATGATCGATGGCGGAGCCGCTGCGGAATCTGGCCGTCGCCAGGAAACACCGGCTGCGACAGAGAATGCCAAGGGCCCAAGCCTGGAGAACGCCATGTTCCGGCTGCGAGAGCTCGTCACGGCCGCGTACGAGGCCCTCCACAAGGCAAGCCCGCTCTGCCATGTGCCTGAAGTAAAAGAGAAAAAGGAAGAGGAGAGGAAGCGACTAGGAATGCATAGTACAGCAATTATTACATAGTACATACTAGGAATGCATAGTACAGCAATTATTACATAGTATATACTAGGAACGCATAGTACAGCGGTTAGTACATAGTACATACTAGGAACGCATAGTACAGTGGTTATTTAGTACAACATTAGATTCATGTTGCTCTAAAATACACACGTGGAACAATAATAATTCAGACTCATATATCAATTGTGCAGATTAGCGTGTCGTAGAACACTGAGAATGACGGGCATAAGACTAGAAATAGACTAGACAAAGACTAGAAAAACATTTGCTTTGTCTGTGTGATTGTCAAGCTCGTTATTTACCCAGCAAAGTCAATAGAATTTACTTCAGAAGGAGTGACTGGCACTTGAGATCCTCTCCTACTATAATGATGACTGATGGCTGCCCTTATCATCCTATCCTATGTCTGTAGGCCTTCTCTGCGCTCGAAGAGAGCAGGAGGGGCGATATCCAGCCTTGGGTGTTCCGCCACGTTCTTGACCATTTCTGCTTCAGGCTCACGGACCAACAGTTTGATCACCTGATGGACAGACTGATGGTGGACAAGCGGGACGGAACAGTCAGCTGGACGGCGTTCCTGCATAGCTTTCTCCTGAACGGACACGAGGTGAGACCCGCGTGGCCTCTCGTATGCCGACCTTTACGAGAGTCACACCTCAACCCTCACCAGAAGAATGAGTGTGAATAATTGTGAGTTAGAGCAGAATTATAGCGTGTGAGTGTGTGATTTTGGAATCATATATTTGTGGTGCTGGCATTGTGCGCGAACATGATTACGCTCCCAGACAAATAGTACTGCAGATGCATGAATTAGTGTAGGAGATTATGGTTATGAGCGTGAAAGATGTTTGAATATCTGTGACTACATATGGCACGAGTGTGAATGTGCGTGATATTTCACTGGGATGAGTTTATGCCTTTAGGGGAAGTTAATGGCACTTCTGTGCATGTGTGTGGGCTACAGGCAGCGAGGAACGAGGATGTGGGGAAGGATGTGCGTCGAGGTGCCTGCCCATTGCCAGCGAGTGACATCCTGGGCCAGATCCGCAAGGTCGTCTCCTCCCGTCTGCACACGGTCGCCAAGGATGCGGCGGACCTCGACCACGCTGGCAACGATGTCATCTCCAAAGACGACTTCAGGACAATCCGCGATCGTCACTTCACGAGACTGACGAGCGAACAGGTACAGCCGAAATGATTATTTTTAATAGATAGCACAGCTTGTATATTAAGACTTTATATCAATTTTCTGTTTCAACACAGTTCTGAAGGATAAGCCATCTGTATTGTTGGCACCTTGTGCAACGACTGTGTACAGTCTGTTCAGGGATTTCACAAGCTGAAATAAAAAAAACCAAGGCCCCTTAAAACACCACAGACATAACCTTGGTGGGCAGACTATGGTGGCCCTCATAAACGCTCTGTAACTGTCACAGCCAGCGACCTCGTGGCTGTAGCACTGCAGGCGAACAGCAGACTCTTGCCACAACCGTAGTCAACAACACAATGACTAAATACTCGTATTTTGTGTTGAAATAACTACAGTTGGCAGACTTTTATTTTTGAATTATTATTTTTTTTTTGCCTTGGGCACATTGCCAAAAACATATCTACTGGGCTTAAGCTTGTTTTTTTCTTAATTAAGGGACTAAATCCTCATTTGTTGGCAGCTTTTTTTTTGCCCCCCTCCCCCCCCATATGAAACCTCACCTTTCTGCTTTTCTTTGTTCAGTTTGAGAACTTGTGGAACAGGCTGCCAGTGAACCCTCTCGGGAACTTGGAGTACCGTGAGTTTCTCAGGAGCTTCAGTGGAGGAGTTACTGAGGAGCCTAGGAGTAACGGTGGGGTCGCTGTCACGGGCCCCTCGACACGGGGAATCAGGAGCGCGGCCCCGGGGCTCCGCCAGCACCCCAAATCCACCTCCTCTTCCATCAGGAGCTCTAAGGTACTGTTTGGATCCTCACACAAGCAAAGCACAGATATTTGTCTCCTTGCAGGTGGGATGCTGAAGTCTGGATGAGGTGACATGATTTTTTTTTATCCATTATATATTATTGTCCAAAAGTCTTAGGCAGTCATAGAAAATGTTTAAAACTGTTTATCTGGGTTTATCTATATTTACTCAGAGCAAAAAACAGTTTAACATTAAACGTAACGCAATAAGTGTAACTATAAAAACTAACAAGAATTTCTCCAGCTCTCTCAAAAGTTTCTGATATTCTGTTGGATGGCTAGATGAACACCAATTCAGGTCCCAGACCTCTCCTCAGGGGCACCTCAGCCATTCGATTTCAGCACTGACTGACTTAACTACATGAATTTGTTTTAAAAGGTCACTGAGGTATTGATTAGCAGTAGTGGTCGAGTAGCCCATCATACGTAAGACTTTCACAGCCATCCTTTGCCTGCCTTCAGTGCAGGATGCGACTGGCTGGCTTTTGGCTCCTGTTTTAGCATCACTGCACTGGTTACCACTGCATTTTAGAACTGATTTTCAAGTTTTATTGCTAGTTCATAAAGTACTGAATGGCCTAGCACCTCAGTACCTATCAGATCTGCAACATTATCACACCCCTCTAGATCTCTCCGACCTGACAAGCAGCTTTCCCTAACCTCTCCTGGGGCAGGACTGAAGAGGTGAGCATGCTTTCCTGATGGCAGCCCCAATGGAGTGGAATACCTTCCCTTTATACATCACATCTGCCCCAAAGCTGTTTTTAAATCACATCTGAAAACCTGTTTATTCGCGCTGGATTTTAACAGTGTATGAAATGTATTATCTGTTATTGTAGCTGTGGTTTTATTGTATGTTCCTGTATGGCCTATTTCTTATCAGTCCAGCACTTCTGTCAGCTACTGCTGTTTTAAATGTGCTTTATAAATAAGTTTGATTTGATTTTTATTTGAGTAAAAAAAACTTCATGGCTGTGTTGGATGGCTGCCACAGATCTTGGGCTGACTGGGCTGAATGGGCTACTGGGAGGGGCTGTGAAATGGTTAAGCTGATATCATAGTTTTCTGCATCATTTTCTTCTGCACAGGAGCATGTATTTTGCTTTATTCAAAGCAGAGTGTACAGTTTTACCACATAATGTAGCTGGATACTCATTGATGTTTTAGGGCCACTCCTGCTAGCCAAGCCCCCTCGGCAGAGCCCCACTCCCATTGGCTGGACACTCCTGCTAGCCAAGCCCCCTCGGCAGAGCCCCACTCCCATTGGCTGGATACTCCTGCTAGCCAAGCCCCCTCGGCAGAACCCCACTCCCATTGGCTGGCCACTCCTGCTAGCCAAGCCCCCTTTGCAGGGCCCCCCTCCCATTGGCTGGCCACTCCTGTTAGCCAAGCCCCCTTGGCAGAGCCCTCCTCTCATTGGCTGGTACCTGATACGTTTGTTGCACCTCCCCTTCCAGCCGGCGGAGCACACCGGAAGACCGTGCTCGAGCAGGGAGAGGAGCACCCCTCCGGCAAACTGTGAGCGGGCGGAGTGCAGTCTGCGAAGCAAGATGCACGCCTCCTGGAGGGAGATCCACAGGAGGTGCTGGGAGGTGGACAGAGAACAGCTCGGGGAGGTCAGCATGGAGCAGTTCCTGGGTATGGCATGCATTAGCATAAAGCACTTCTCACTTTAATATGCCCATCTAGCTTCCACCTGCTTATCCAATATGGGGGGGGGTCTATCCCAGCATGGGGCCTAGAGACAGGGAACGCCCAGCATAGCATGTCAGGCCATCACGGGGCACACACACAGTCACACACTACAGACAACCTGGAAACGCAATTCACCTATCCGCACCTCTTTGGAGGAAACATGCACATCGCATGGAGAAAATGAGACCCCCACACAGACACACAGACCGGGGGAAGGACTCGAACCCCCAACCCTGGAGGCCCGACGGGACAGCAGCTCCCACTGAGCCAACTTGCTGCCTTTCTACTTTGATTTAGGACTGTAAAACAGACATTGATCCATACTTTGAAGTCCTATTCTGTACTTCACTACGCAGTGTTTGTCCTTTCATTTAAAAAGAAGAATGGAGGGTGCAGAAACAGCAACGTCATCAGCAGGACCTACATCAGACTTAAAGAATCTGCAGAAGTCTCCCTTTTCTTCCCCTGATCCCGGGCGTTTCTTATTTAGATCAGCGCGAGAGGCTTCTCCAGGGGGAGATGTTTCTCGGGGCGAGACTCTATTGGCCATTGGGCACCCAGCATGCACTAATGAGTCCCCCCCCCCACACACCCCCTATCGACACCGAATACTGCTCGATCTACCCGGTGTGTGCAGATCACCTGTCCTCACTCTCTTGGACTGGTTTCGTCCGGCCAGTCCGGTTCTGTTTTGCCATCCGAACGAAAATACTTTCCCAAGCGATTAGCCTCCCCCTCCCCCTCTTTGCCATGCGGCGTGGCGAGTACAGCGTTTAGCATGTCCCCTCCGGGGTCCCCCGCCGCGACGGCGTACATGATGAGAATGAAGCATGTGACTCGATCCGCTGGGACCGCGCCACAAGCTGCCGTACCCCCCCCTCCCCCCGCTGAGTCCCTTACGCCCTTGTTACGGCTGTTAACAGGAAGATGCACATGGCGGGATTGGGAGCGCATAAAATCAGGGGTGTGGGGGCTACGCTCCCCATGCACGGTACTAATCTGGGTGCCCCATCCAGGCTGATGGAAACAGGCGTTTCTGCACATTCCTTTATGAAGTGAGACAGGACTCAGCGTCTGGACACGTAAGAGCGTCATGCACACGGAGCGACTGTCCGTCTGCCGTGCTTACGACCATCTCGCTGTGCTGGACAAATGAGCGTAGCAGGTGCACAGACATTCTGCTTTTTGTCCGGCAGCCATAATGGAGGAGCTGCAGCTGAAATCGACTCCGCTGGAGATCCAGCGGCTGGCCAGCGGGGGCGGAGTCGCCGACGGCGGCGGCACGGTCTCCTACCCAGAGTTCCTACGGCACTTCATCCTCACCCCGAAGGCGCCGAGCGAGCGCGCTTTCCGCCGGCCGCAGCTCCACGTGTCCCAGACGCCGGTAGGAAGCTTCCCTGTCACTGGTACCATCAGGCCTAAGTATCATGCGGCTTTGAAAACACTCCTAAATAAGCGAGAGTTTATGTTTCCTGGCTCTTCCCATATTATTACCACACACCATAAGGAGGTAACTGACACTGAGAAGCAGTAAAACCTGGCTGGTTTATATAGTAACACGCTGAGTGCCAGCATCAAACCCCTCCTGGCTGATCCCGCGTGAGATTTTACATGCGAAACATGGCTGCTGAGGAGAATCACATGCAGAACAAAGAACTAAGTGTGGGTTTAGACTTGAAGATGCTATCAAGGCAGTGAGGCAGGCCGCTAAGCTGGATCGTAGCATGACGGAACCGCAAGCCGCAATCCTCCCTGGGCTCTCGACGACAGCCCTGTTGTTCAGATTCACCTTCCCCTTTGCTGCTGTGGTCCCTACGAGGAGAGCCGAATGCGACCGTCCAGTGAGGTTACATCAAGAAACAACAGGACCAGGTCAGAATGTCAAATACTCGGAATGTCAAGATGCAGCCGTTCAGTAAAACCGGCAGAACAGGTCATTTAGAGCGGTGACGATAGGTCACACGGGCCGGAGTGTCATTAGAGCCGTCCAATGGGAAAGCGAGGGTCACAGTCCTGGAAGCCCAGACAGCTGTGCTGTCTGATTTCAGAGAGGAAAGTCACTCAAGAAATGAGGCGATGCAGAAAACCGGTCAAATGAATAGTGCGAGAAATAAAAAGCGGCGTGAATTCCCAAAGTAAAAAAAAAATAAAGCAACAATGGGTGCACTGGGGAAATAGATTCTATGCAAATTATTTGTAAGCTTATTAAATTTCCAGAACAAAGGAGCATATTAGGCACTAGCAGAGCCTCTGTAGAGCCTGACCCGGGAGCTATGGCTTTAACCTGAGTCGCTCTGTAGGCCCTCCCGGTGTGTGCAGGCACGCATTCTCTTACCGCATGCTGGCTCATGAACCGGGCCGGTCCCTTTCTGCCCAGATTCGTCCCGGGGTACTCAGCGGACAGTGTGTGGACGCTATGCTGAGGATGCAGGGCCCGATTCAGCAGTTCTGGAGGGGCATGAGGCGGAACTTTGTCACTCTGGACCGGAACCGGAGCGGCAGGATCTCCCTCCAGGACTTCAGAAAGGTGCGCAGAGTCCTTCTAAAGCAGTCAGAGCCAGCGTTGTAGCAATCAGTCATGCATATGCTAAGTGCATTCGAACACGGATCCCCCTTTCAGACAGTACACACAGCAAATCTGTTTATGCTGTAGCTCAAATAGAATCCCATCTAAACGAGGGCCTCAAAAAAGGGTGTCAAATGCAAACACGTTTCCCCTGCATGAATCAAGCTATAGGCAGAATTTGCTTGCATTCAAGTGTGTCTCAAATGTCTTTGATGTTTAAAAGGAACCCTGCGTTCTGCTGTCATGGGCGGCAACACAGTGCACCGAGTTACTGCTTAATATAAACGGGATGTGAAAATAGCTAAAAACCTTGTTTTGTGTCTCCCTGTCCTGTAGGTGTTGAGTCGGTACGGTATCGACCTTTCCGAGGAGGAATTCTTTCATCTCTGTTCCTTCTTTGACAAGAATATTTCAGGGCAGATATTCTACAATGATTTTTTTGTGTACTTTTTTTAAAATGAGCTGAGAGCCGAGGCTGCCCTTCCCACTGTGCGGCTGATCACTGTCATATCACAACGGCCACGTTAATATTTGATGGATTTTTCAGCCGAGGGGCTACACTGTTTGTAGCAGACAGAAAACCTACCAGCATCCTCCTAAAATGCGGGAATCACGAGCCACAAAACTACTAAATTCAAAAAAATACTTTTAAATATCACACTGATGTACTTCTAGAAACTATGATGCTTCACCTGAATTATCGTAGCAGTTTCATTAAAAAAATATTAAATTACAAAGAGGTATATATAGCTCTGTATGCAAGTGAACTTGTATTTTTACAGTTTTCTAATCCCAAATTGGAACATTAAACTGATATTATCTATATATCATCTGTGAAATATTCTGGCTGGCCTTTTTTTTTTTTAAACTGCTTTCGCATGATGGATGAAAAGGGTGTTTAACAGAGGCTGGTGATACACAAAACCACTGCACTGCACTTTAGTAACTTGGCAGGAGAGAGATATTATAGAACGTATTACGGATACCTGAACATGAAAGAAAGTCAGCAATGCTGAACTCTTTCTATAGAGACAACCTTAATAACAAACTCAAAGCTATCTAGGAGCCACATAATCTTAAGAATAAATTACGCTATATCCCCCAGGATTACTAATGCAATTACTGGAATGAAGCTTTTTATTGGAGTGCGTGTAGAACGGGGAAAAAATCACTATATGAAGAAGAAAATCACTTTTTACACACGGAAATTAGGTTTTGTATGAATTAAAGATAATTGATTAAAATTCTGGATCCTTCAATTCTTTCCTAATAGCAAAGTGTTCTGGGTAAATTTAAATGGAATACGATAGGTACAAATAAGAGAAACTCAAAAATAGACACGTAACCCACCAGTGCACATGAGGTTTAATTTAATTAGCATCAATCCTTTTTCTGGAAACCAGAAGAACTGAACTGCATGTAGGATGTACATAATAGGACCCCACCTCCTGATGCACTAACATAGTTCATATTCAATATTAAAAGTTTTTTTTTCTTTTTTTGCTGAAGGGATTATAAAATATCATACATTATTAAATCAAAACATTTCAACAGTGTCTCAAATGAATTACACAGCACAGAAATTATCAGAGAAAAAAGCCTTTTTTTTAAAAAACCGAAACGGCATGCCCCAAAGAAGTCAGCAAGAAACACTACAGCCAAACTTTAGTTTTCAAGAAGAGCACAGTACCCATAATAAATGCCAACATGGAACATTCTTTAAGTGTTTGTGCCAGCATAAAAGTAACAATCATTTTAAGTGCTTGCTGGGAATCAGAGTACATAATAAAAACGATCATTATTGAGCTTAAAATTCAATTCTCTCACGATTCATATGGTCCAAATTGCTTAGTAATTGTTATGAATTCATAATAATACTGTACAATGTATGCTGGTAATGGCAACCATTTTGAAACTCACAGGAGCAAATTGTAGCTAGAAGGAGCATGAATAAATTATAATAGGAGCACTAGGATCAAAGTCCAGTTGTACTCTTACCATGTGAAATACGCATTACGTATAAGTTATTAGGGAGAGTGTGATTATTCTTTGAAGTACTTTAATAAAAGCCATGTTTACAGTGGTTGACCTGAACAGAAATTTGTGCAAAATAGGTGAGCAATGGTAACAGTTAACAAACAGACTCAGTCCACATACAGTACAAGCATATTCTTACTACCATTGTTAAAAAGGAAATTCCATAGCCATTAACAATTCCAACCATTGCATTAAACTTTGAAATACCATATCCGTTTAACCAAACACAGACTAATTTGTAAGGAACAGAAGTATTTGGAAAAAATGCCAGACGTTATTTGGAGCAAAGATATTTATTTTAATTTATTTATTACATTACAGGTGAAATATTAAATAAATTACTTAAACATTTTCCCCACTACTGAGCGATACATTAAAAGTATATTTTAACAACTGGAATGTTGTTATTAACTTTCTGGAAGTTGTACTAAAAACACCCACAAAAAAAAGTATTCAGCCTTCCAGAATGAGCCATCTTTCGTGGGAGCCAGGAGATGCATGACCCCTACTCAGAAGACAATTAATACACACCAAACTTCTGATTCCACAGTGTGAAGCACAGCTGAGTAACAATTATCTAAAAAGAGATAACTGCTAGTGACCCTGAAATAAACTTGTTGGCAACATGACACTTCAGCAGAGGATGAGAGGTTGAGCTTATTAGGCACAGGGAAATTACACAGAGAGCATAGGAGAGCCCCTCAACACATTTTTAGATCCATAAGAAGCCTACAGAAAGTTTTAATGAATCTCTGGAGAGCAGTGTCAATGTGCTTGACATTCAATTTCACACGGGCCCTGTGGCGTCAGCTTCCTGTTCCCTCTCAGGTCCTCTTTGATCTGCACTTCCCCCGGGCCCTCGCCAGCGCGGGGACCATCAAAACCGGGCCTCGAGAATTCACGGTGCGGAGGGGGCCAATCCCGGTACTTACAAGGGTTGTGGCCGCTCGGGTAGCGAGGGGGGGTCGCCTCCCGGAACCTGGAGGGGTTCAGGACCATCGGAAGGTTCCGCACTTCCGCAAAACCTTCGAAGGAGCACCGAGCAGCTGGTGCAGGGGAAACGGCGTTTGTGCATCCGTCGAATCGGAGATGGCGGAAACGCGCGAGGAGGATACCCCAGGGAGACGGCGGGGAGGAGTCGAGAGACGCCGATACTGAGCCTCTTTTCTCAGAGTCCGGATCAACGGGAGGAAGCGATGGCTTTCCAAGCCGAGAGACTGCCACAGGGGATTGTCAACTAACCAAAGTCAACAGAGGTTTAAAAACATCGCTCTTCCAGAGGACAGAGATCATCGCGCAATAGTGCTGAAATCATTTTTTAAAAGAAGAAAACAGAGACGGTACACAACACAGCTGCACACGTGGACTCTACAGGAAGCTGGACTGCAGCGGTCATCATGGACGCAGTCCGACGGAACCTTGCATATTTACAAATTGTCTCCCACCCACCCTGCCCAGTGCCTTATCTGTCGAACCGACCACACCCGTTACCTGTCGGGGTCTGTAAGGGGAGGAGGAGCAAAGGGAGGGGGCTTTTCTCAATCATGTACTCCTCGGAGTGGGCAAGTCGAAGACTATGGGCGGGTTCATGGGTTGGAAGTTCACCGTGCAGGCGGAGGCGTTGATGAAGGTGGTGACACCATCAGTCATGACTCCATAGCCTGTTGAGGAGAAGAGGAGGGGAACGACGGGGGGGAGGACAAGCACAAACATGCCATTTTTTCATCTCTTCACAGCAATTTCGTTGTAAATGTCTCTGAACATAGATGTACTCCTCAACTAGCTGCCTCTTTATAATTCTGATCCAGTTTCTAATCCACGCAGCTCCGGGGAGCATGGAGCTCCAGTGAGGAGCCGACCAGGCTGACCTAAAAAAGACACGGCAGAGCCTCAGAGGAGGCTTCTGTGAGCACCAGGCCGGCGGCACAGCTGAGAGGCACGTGCTCCTGATGGAAACCTCCTTTCCTCAATGCAACGGCGCTACATCTACATCTCTGCAGCCTTGCCCGCATCCTGCAGGAACCTGACAAGATGATATACTCTACTGAAATTTCTAGACCAACACCCCTCCAAACAAGCTTAATCAAAACTTTAAAGAAAACGCTGGACAGGTGTATTCTCAGGTCTGTTATGCTCTACTCCCTCGGTTACACTTGTTGAGTTGTGTACCTCGTGGTTGGCTTGTGGGTGGATTTATGGTAAACGTGATGCAGGGTGCAGGACGCGGCGCCAAGCCAAACACCAGCACTGCCTCACCTTCATGGATGTGCCCAAAGACATGCAGCTTGGGCTGAACCCGCCTTTGCACCGTGTTCAGCAGCTCCACGCAGCCCACGCGCTGCATCTTCCTCGGGACCCAGTCCAGGAAGCCTGCCATGGGACAGAGGTACAGCCAGTCACATGGGATCGTCCCAACCCCCCGCCAAACGCCGCCCCTGGACCCCGGTGGGAGTGCCGGAGAGAGGAATCCCTTTGAGCACACAGGCACTGCTGACTCCACAGAAGGAGCGCCACTGAGAAAGTGGAACGGTGGATTCATCCACAATAAGGAAGAAGATTCTTTTGGGGGGAAAAAAAGCTGTTGTCAGCACTTCACATCTCTCCAGCAGCAAATTCCTCAGGAACTAAGACTAATCAACAGTCAGCTATTAATCAATAAAAAGGCAAAAACCAAAAGAATGAAACTAAACGATTTTTTTTTTTTATATATAATCTGTCAGCGTCTCCCCTATTAAGCCATGACCAATATACCAAGATATTACAGTATGACAACCTAAGGGAACTACCATAATAATTGCCATTTGTATTTTATCAGCAACTGGTTTTATGCAATCCTCACAAAAATATTTTAATATTTTTTTCATGAGGTCAGTTTTCCGCATTCCAGTGCCACAATGTGTTTCAAATGCGTTTTTATTCGGTATCATCAGAAATTAAAAACTGCCCCTGCTTCATTCCGGAAACCACCTCCTCCTCACGGCTCCTCCTTGCAGCCGCTGGGGTCTGTGCGTCTCACCGCTTTGAAGCGTTTCATAAAAAGCAGTGATTTACTGCACTGCAACAGTGTCCCCGTCCTGCATGCATTACCGTCCTGCTGTAGCCCTTCCAGATGCCCGCAGCTTATAAAGAGATCGCTGTAAACACTTGGCTAAACAAAAAGGAAAATAATTTATTGTGCCTGGTGACAGGCTGCAATAACAGAAATCAATCACACACACGGGGACGGCTAGAACTGGCTCGAGCGTAAAACAAGGGCTAAAAGGAAAACAAAAGCAACAACAAAACAAAAAGCCGCCTTCTCTGCTAGAAGCCGAAACTGGCACGCAGTGCGCAGGCCGTTCGGAGAGATATCGACCTGAGCTCCTCACAAGCCCTGGGGAATAATTTGGGCTGTGGAATGGCCACACACTGACTGCTGCCCTTCGCCGTGTCACCTAAGGCTTTATGACAGCCCGTGTCCCCTGCCTTAGCACAGAGGCGACCTGCTGGCCTGCCCAGGTAAGTGCCGGTGTTTCCCAGCTGTATCACTGGGAGAAAAGGCGTGACACTCACCCAGCGGGGGGCAGTGTGTCACCAGGATGTCGGTGGAGTCGGGGATCTGGTTCCACTTGTCCAGCAGGGCCTGTCCCCTGGGTAGGTTGAAGCCCCAACCGTAGTACCAGGGTTGCCTGTCCCAGAAGGAGGAGAGAGTCTGTTAGAGGGCATTTCTGAAGTACACACTTTCGAAATGCCACTTCATTTCTCTCGCTACATCAACGGGCTCATGAGCAGATTGACTCTAAACCTAGGCGACCATATAAATGCCTTGTAGCCTGAAAGGTAAATCGACGGTTGTCAGGTGTGTCACAGCTTTAAACCAGATGATTTCTAAGGTGTCGGGGGACAGGTCATACCTTACATTCCACCATACCTTCATGGTTCTGACTAAAGCCTGGAACCAAGCCGTTTTTAGCCCTCAGATGCTGGCGGGCGGGTGTGTGCCGCACGGTCAGACACGGTCGGTCCCCATCGGTGCCGTTTTGGCCGACTGAGCAAGGTGAACGGGCACTGAAGCCAGTCGGTGAAACCGAGTTCTCTGATTAGGCCGTGTATCAGCCATCACCTCTAGTCGTGCCAGCGTGTTCCAGCGCAAATTTTCACAATCGACAGGAGCCAATCGTTCGTCGGCCTTGGTTGGCTCTAGTTTTTTGCTGTCTGCTTTTTGTGTACCGATCTTAACAGACTTAATTGCTCTGGCAGCATAAGACAAGATTAATGATGATTCCTACGATATGAGTAGACAGAGCCTGTATCTCAGATTCATGCTGAGATACCAGTCGTCATACAGCAGTAACATGTTCAGTAGGAGGGCTTCTCGCTGGATTGATCATGTCCGAACCACATGCAACCTTCCAAAACGACCCATACTTCTTTAAACTGCAGTTAGCAGATGCAGAGTTGCTTGTGGAGGCCTGTTAGGTGAAGCAGGGCTTCCTGACCTCTACAGCTCTCAGTGACTAAAGGGATCCCCAATGTTTGATGGAATGTGCTGTGGTATAGCGGGTCCTCTCACAAGAGCCATCTTCATCTCCAAATCAGCACACAGGGCCGTGTCTCGCATTCCAGATGTGCGCCTACGGGCCAAATCACTCGATAGCACAGCAACAAGATGAGCGTGAAGAGGACTGCACCTAATCGTCAGAGAGTGAAAAAAATACTTCGGTGGATCATTCAGAGAACAGTCGCTTCAAATTGCGGCTTTTTGGAGATTAACCGGTATTATCAAAGGAGTACCTTCACGCGAAGCAACGGAATTCATTATCGAATGCATGAAATAAACATTGACATTCTTTCCATCTAAAGCACATTCTGATGTCATTAGATGCAGAACTTAAGCACAGTCTTGTCGTAGGTGTAACTCGTGCTCACATCAGCAGACCTCATATTAAAGGCCTAAGGTCTTGACTCAACATTTTCTTTAATTCGGCAGCTTGTGACTCATTGCTTAAAAACGCATCAGAAAAAATAGAATCTGGGACTTGATGGTGTGGTTTGTGTCCTATCTCTCTTTGATTTGAGATGCAACAAGCTTGACTGACAGAGTAGGAATTAACATGTCACTAACAATCTTTCCTCAGATCCATCTTCCACGCCCGCGCTAAGATCTCCCCCTGCCTGCATCGCTGGTGGTTCTCGCTTGCACTGTCGGCTTTTTTCCTTTTTAATTTGCGACGCGCAGCCACCAGCGGTGCTGCCGTTCACCGTGAAACGCCTGCCTGATTCGGCGGGCACCATCCGCTGGGCGCTTCCCGGCTGCCCCCCCCACCTCTGCCGCTGCAGAAGGTGGCCCGCAGTGAAGGTGCCATGATACGGCATGGTGTGCTGCACATGCGCAGATGGGTGAAAAGCTATATGCATGCCAGTTTGTTTTAAGATGAATATGCAGTGAGCTAATCAATTAACTGGGAAAACACTGCCTCCAAGCTCCCTGACAGACAGTCCACATTTTTGCTCCCTGGAGCCACGGTAGGAGCTGGGAGGGAGCAAAAAACGTGGACTGTCTGTGGGTCCCCTTAGAAGTGGGATGGGAATTAGCAGTTCTCTTGGTCTTCTCTTACTAAGTGTGAACAGGCCTGCCTTTGCTGCTCCTGCACACGCGACTCCTGGCCACTGAAGGTGCGCAACAACACTTGAGAGCCAACTTCTCATGGAAGACACCATACAAGGAGAGTGATTTTGTGGCATATTAACGAGGAAACATTCCAACAAAGACTACTACTTTCAAAAGAAGTTTGCTTGTACTATGATTTAAATTATTTAAACCTTTAAACATTGAAACCAACCTTATTAATAGATACTCTGAAATATTCAAGTTCATCTTTTTAACAGATGACTCAATTAAAAGAAACTGCAGTTAGTCTATTCTCCCTCTAGGTTGTCTTCCGTTACACGTTGCTTTCTTCAGGGAAATGGGGAGCTACTAAAGTCACTGTCTAACGCAATGAGGTCAGGAGGTCAAGGGTCACAGCAGGATCAGCCTCTGGGTCCCTGGTGTGATATGTAGGGTATTTTAAGGTTATATCTGGAGTGAGGTCACCTCTGGAAAATTAGGCACACTTCACCCACTTATCAGAATAAAGCCATTTAGTATTTACTAATTAAATTGGAGGAAGGGTTCAACGTCAGCACCATTATGAAAGTATCATTACAATAAGAACAGCCACTTTCTATTTCAAGTGCCAATGTGTCTAAAGTACAACGTCTGCTCAGTGCATCTCTAACGAGATGGGGGGGGGGTGCTGGGTGCAATGGTAAAACGTATCACTGTAGGTGGACCTTCAAGTGCTCAAAGCAGATGACCAAACAGACACTGTGCTGTCGAGTGTGAAACTGCAGAGCACAACACAGCCTTTTTGTCTGTATGACAGATGCTCCTCTCCGGGGCAATTTACAGTGGCAGCAAACGACGGCATCGCTTGGGAAACAGCTGGAGGTTTTACTGGGGACCCTCACATTCAAAGCCTCATTAAACAGCACAATAGCGGCATCCCACAGGGACTGGGAAACTAACCGCTGCCCTCTTTACTCTGACCTTTGACCCCTCTCCAGCTTTAAAACAAATACATGCGCAGTATTATTAATGGGGCACGAGGAGCGGGATTCATATATGCGAATTTCATTTTGTTTAAGAAGAAAGAGCAAACTAGCATTTGCTTTAGACGTTGGCGCATGGGAATATCTCCTAAATGAAGCCCCCTCTTAGAGAAATGAAACAGGATTTTTCTTTTTTTTATTTTTTAATCATAGTTTCCAACTGATGTTCTGCCTTTGCAGTTCCCTGCTTACAAAGCAGAGGAAGAAGACGGAGAAGAGAGGCTGGCTGTTTTGTTGTAGTCTCCTGTGATGTGCGTGATGCACTGTGATGGCTCTTGTGAGAACCCAAATTGTGCGCTTACAGAATGTAAAGTTTGCCCATACTGTCAGCTGCCTAAAGACATCAGCAGAAAGTGCTCATGAATTACTAACCAACCACTTGCTGCAATACCGTAAGGCACACGGCTTCAATTTTTAATTCCGACAGTTAACTTCAAGCTTGTTAAAAAAAAAAAATGTTTTGAGAAAATCTTGATTTTAAAAGGGGACTTTAATGTTTTAAGGGAATGTTTTTAATCTAAATGAACTCCCAGCTTTTTTGGAGCCAGTGTAACTGGAACGAATTCTGGGAGCAGGAGGATGGGAGGACAGAGGAAATCTAACAGTCCCAGAAGGAGCAGGCTTCAGAGAGCTGCGTTCTTCTCGAAAAAGTTCAACTTCAAGGCACTGTGGGCAAGCAGTGCTTTTTTACAAATACTGAGAGGGATCTCAGATTTTACATTTTTTAATTACAGTGAGCCACACAATAGAACTGTACTACTACTATTATTATTGTTGTTGTTGATATTATTAATGCATAGCTTCCCATAAGGGCTTCACAGCAGACAAGTGTACCATGAATTCCTCCTCCCCTTTCACCTCTAAACAGTCAAGCAGACTCAATATAACGTCTGTAAGTGATTCCACTTGGGTACTTTCCCTATGCTTGTGTTTTCCATTTCATTTCATTGTAAACAATCTCCACTACAGAACCACGACACACACAAATCTAACTGAAGTGTAAATTATGGCATCTATCACAATTTAATACTAGTACCAGAAGACAGACAGACAGACAGACAGACAGACAGACAGACAGACACACACACACACTTGATGGATACAGAATTTTTGTGTAATGAAATTATTCAAGCAATATGACGTGTTCCACAATCGGCTGCATAACCCACAATTTGTAAAATTATCGCAGCTCTTTCTCTGCTTCCTCTGAGTTGTGTGAGAAAGGCAGAAATGCTTTGTTATAATATTACAGAGGGCCCCACCGAGCAGAAAAGCGTGAAAGACAATATTGGGAGGAACCACCACCTATACTAGGGTGCTGTAGCAGAGCGGCGAGCTAAAGGCCCCCAGGAAGTGCTCTGTGTATGTGCGTGTCTCAGGAGGAGGCCTAATGCTTGGGAGAGCTGAAGGTCCCTGCTGGGTCCAGCTAGCCTGCTGCCTCCACCAGAAAGAACAGGCATAAAAAGAGTCGCCCTGTGGACACGCTTGCATGACTGCTTGTACCTCATACAGTCATTTTGTGACTATTGGTTGCACTGGCTGCAGCTACGTGACGGCAAAGTAACGGCAGAAGCACCATCCAGCTGCACTGACTGCAGGTCCAGCATAAAGAGGCGATCCTGCAGGGATCAGCTGCCATTTCTGCGCACCCAGTTATTATTAAAGTCCTCTGTATTACCTCCTACGCCTGATATATTCCCCACACCACTAACCTTGTTAAAAAACGGTTTCAATTAAAACCGTATAGGGTCAAAGCAATCCCTCATGATTTGAGAGTACATATGGAGGTCTTTAAATATCTTGTTTCTGCTTGATGGAAGTCAAAGAGGGTAAAAAGCGAACTATTACTGGCCAAGGGAGAGGGGTAGTAGGGGAAATGCCGTGCGACGGAGGTGGTCCGTCTCTAGAATCTGGCCTTTTCCAGTCCATAAACCTTGAGAGCCTCTGTATTTATACATACACAGGCCTGAAAAGCCTTTACGCATGTTCAGTGTAAAGACCAGGGCAAAGACGCTCATGTGGCCAACAAGATCAC